GTAACCTCAGACAACCTTTCCCTGGGTAAGGTAATAGCAGGAACCAATTAAGGCAGGCAGGCTAATTAGGACACCAGGAGCCAATCAAGAAGCTCCTAGACTCAATTAGGACAGGCTGGCTAATAAGGGCACCTGGGTTTAAAAAGGACCTCATCTCAGTCAGTGAGGTATATGTGCAAGGAGCTGGGAGCAAGAGGTATTAGGAACTGAGAGTAGGACTGAGAAGTACAAGCATTATCAGACACCAGGAGGAAGGTCTTGTGGTGGGGATAAAGAAGGTGTTGGGAGAAGGCCATGGGGAAGTAGCTTAGGGAGTTGTAGCTGTCATGCAGCCATTACAGGATACATTTTAGACAGCTGCAATCCACAAGGCCCTGGGCTGGAACTCTGAGTAGAGGGCAGGCCTGGGTTCCCCTCAAACCTCCCAACTCCTGATCCAACACAGGAGGAGTTGACCTGGACTGTGGGTTCCACCAAAGAGGAAGGTCTCTGATCTGTTCCCCAACCCATTAGGTGGATTACCAGGGACTGCAGGGATTGTTCTTTTCCCTATGCTGGCCGGTGATGAGGTTAACTGAGTGAACAGCAGATTTGAGCCACGAAAGTAGCCAAACTGAGGGCTGCCATGAATCTCTGAGACGAGCAAATCTGCTAATAAGTGCAGGACCCACCAAGGCAGAGGAGGAACTTTGTTACTATATATATATATATATATATATCTATATATATATATATATATATATATATATATCTTTATGCAGCCTCTCTTCTGTGTGATTGTACTCTAAACAATCATCTAGTTAATATATTGTTTTTATGATAATGCTATTTACTGACATTTAACCTGTACTTTCAACAATACAATGAATAAAAATTGAATGATTGTCTTCTTTCTAGTCCTGCTAACACACACACACAATTTATATATTTAAACCGATCTAAGCAAAGATCTAGATGTTTTTGAAATACATGAGTTGATTATTGGCTAAGCTTATAGTTTGCTCTACAAAATAACCTTTGACTGATCAAACAAAGTAGTTCCCTTTGTCACCCAAGCCTGAAGAACTCTATCTTATCAACCAATCACCAGAGCTTTGTGGTGGGAGTAACATACCGAGAGTTTTCAGAGTAGCAGCCGTGTTAGTCTGTATCCGAGAGTGCATGCTGTATACTTCTCTGCTAACTCAGTAGCTTCCTCAAAAGTCTCATTACTGGTGAATCATGGAGCTGCTTGTAAATGTAAGAAAATGGATAGAAGAAAACAAAGCTGCTTTTTTGCCCCCAGTGTGCAATAAGCTTATGTAAGTAAATGAAGATCTTGTTTTACCTTGCATAGTCTCAGGGATAAAAGGAAACTGCTGTAAATTTCATGCAAATGGCAAAGATTAATAAGTATGGATAAAATTGTTCTTCAGGTCTGGCCACAAACTTTTTTTTTTTAAAGACAGAAAGTGCTTGAAAACTGTTCAATGATTTAAAATAGATGGACTGCTGTGCTAAGCACATTGCAGTCTATGGCCCTGATCCAAAATTCATTGAAGTCTACAGCAGTCTTTCTACTGACTTCAGTGGGCTATGGATTAAGCTTTACGGGAGAAAAAAAATCTCATAGGATCACACTCGTGAATTATGAGATTCACCTAATAAATTGCCACTACTTCCCCCACACTTTGTGTTTCCAGACTTGGTGGTGAAAGCCATCCCAGCTGTGAGAGAGGGGCTACTCCTACTATTTTTTGATTGTAATAATGGGGTCATCCTTCACTTCTGGAGCTGAAGGAGTAATCCATGAGACAAGGGGGCAGGGAAGAAGAGGGATGCTTACCACAGCTGTCAGTTGGGGGTTCTGCAAGCTGCTATAGCCTGATCAGTTTCCTGTCTGTGACTCAGGCTATGTCTACACTAGCACTTTTGTCAGTACAACTTATGTCGCTCAGGGGTGTGAAAAAACACCTCTCTGAGCGACATAAGTTTCACTGACAAAAGCACCGGTGTGGACGCTTGCAGTGTGGCTGTGCCAGGGTCCAGAATTTGGCACCTTCTTCCAATCACAGTAATAATTATTTCTTTTGTCAGTGGAATAAGGCATAATGTGTTTGCTTCAAAACCTACAGTACATGAATAAGAAAAGAAGGGCTTCCTTTAAAAGTTTCTTTCCTATCCCTCTTCTTGATGTTTTTATATTATAATCCAGTTTTCACATTATATTATGTTCCTTTTATTTTCTGTGATATTTGTTTTAATCAATCAAAAGGAAATTGTAAAAAAACAAAACTTCCAGGAACCCACTTTTTTTTCCCCCCTACCCCAAAGGATTCTCTGTAATTGAAAGTTAAGGAATGTTAATGCTTTTCATGACTGTGTGTAAATGTTTGCTTTTCTGAGTAACTATTCCAAGATATAGATTTCACTGAGGATCACTGTGCACATTCCCCCATCTATTGAAAGTACCGTTCTATGTTCTATTGTAGACAGAAAGAAAGACAAAAATGCTAGGCCTGAGTAGATCTCATTGAATGAAAGAGTACAAGAAAGTGTCTTCTGTCTGTGATTGCTTTCATTTGATGACTAGTTTAAAATAAATATTTCAGAATGAATTCTGCTATACTTTTGCAAAGTGTCTTCATTTCTAAGCTTAACAATTGCACCTGTGCTCTGTTGAAGCATTTTGAATATTCCTCTTTTCTGTTCTTCATCAAGAAGAGATATATACTTTGCTGGGTGGCGGATGAAGCTTCCTCTTGTGGAGGCTCAGTCTAGCCCCCTGACACGCCTCTTCTGTCCAAGGCCATGCCCCTGCTCGCTGCTCTCAACCCCCCGCCCATGGCCTCGGCTGGCGTGGGATGGGGGGGGTCTGAGAACTTGGTTAGGGCCACGGGGTGCAGGGAGGTTGAGAGCTCGGCCCTGGCCAGGGTCAAGCTCTCAGCCCTGGCTGAAGCTCCAAGCCCAGAGCCCTTCCCCGATTCTGCCCCTTCCCCTGTGGCTCTGCCCCCACCCCACCTCTTCTCCCCGAGACCCTGCCCCCTGCTCGCTCCTTCCCCACCTCCACTGCGGCCCCAAGACTGAAAAAGCTCTGTGCCCCTGCCTCAGCCCCAGGGGTATTACCCAAGTCCATGGTGGGGAGAGATTTTTTTTTCCTGGGGTCCCCAAATCTGCCACTGTCCCTCACCCGGTGGTGAGATTTGGGGAGGCTTAGCCTCCCCCAGCCTCAATTACGCACTGCCTATGCCCACCCAACAATACCTTATAGCCCAGGGATTAGGTCCCTCTGCTAGAAAGTGGGAGTACTGGGTTCAACTCCCTGATCCAAATTAGGCAGTGAAGGGATTTGAACCTGCATCTTATACATCCTGTGTCAGGCTCTGACCATTTAAATATAAGGGTTGCTCCAGCTGTACTTTTTGTGGTGTTAGGAATGCAAATATGCCTACTAGATCAGGTTCTGCAGTTGAAATAGGCTAAATGCCACCAGGGCTTAAGCAGCTTAGTGGCATCTGGACTTAGGTGGCTTTGCAGAAATGTAGGTGGAGTTTAAGGACCTCCTCAGTGCTCTTTAAATCATTGGTGCTTTGCAATGAAATGAAATACCTTGATTTCTATGAAGATTAACTACCTTCAGAATTCAGTCATGATGCTCTCACATGCTAACAATATTCTTCCACCTTTTATTTTATAGCCCAGCCCATGCTTTGTCTTAATATTTCAGGAGTTGTCAGCTATGCTACTTACAGCTCTATCAGCACTGCAGTACTTTGTGCCCTGCAACAAGCAGAATGTTACTATAAGTTCACCAGTGTGCCAAAAAATAAAAAAAACCAACCTTGGAAATGAACATAAATTCTGCATGATGCGAGTGCTTATGATTTCAGATCCTTATTTTGTGATGCTGGCATAAGCTGAGTATTATAGTGTGTACAGCCTCCTGTTGTGGAAATCGGAGATTTGAATATTGTACTTTTATCATTTAATTTGTGTAGCTTTTACTTAAACAAAGGTCAAGGCAGTTATTGTTGTTTAGCATTGTAGTATATTAGGGCCCTATGTTTCAGATCACCAAAATGCTCCTTGCAGTAAACAAAACGAAGGTGGCGAAAACAAAACCACGAAACAAAACGTGCATGTTCCAACATCTCAGAAACTCTCCCAACATGACTCTGTTGAAGATGGCTGAGTGTATAGGCATCGTTGCAACACACTAAGCATTGAGGCCCAGATTCAGTGTGAAGATATTGCTTCTCTATCTCTATGGTAGCTCTGTGTGCCCCTGCTCTCATCCCGGAGTTGCATTCCATGGTAGTGTTGCTCCATTGCTACTGGACTACCAAGGATTACCCAGCATCCCTGTCATTAGGGGTCTCTGTTGTGTAAGATACTATCTGGGACAGGTAATACCTCTGGCTGCTGACTTGAGGGAAGGGTGAGATCCACACATAAGGGGGTCCCTTCTGCACATGAAACTCGGAGGTACAGTCTGGCCTGAAGGGAGCTACCTGAAGGCTAATTTTGGCATTCAGAGTAGTCGAACTGAGAGAAAAAGTGCTCATCAGAATTCACAAGCATGGCAGAATTAAACAGAGGGCCTGATTCTCCTCTCACTTCCACCACTTTAAAATCAGGTGCAACTTTGGTGAACTCATTCCTGTGACACCATTGTAAGAGTGGTGTAAGTGAGAGGATTCAGGCCCAACATTCGTATCAATAGCTTTCAGTAACTTTACTAGCTGTGAAGCATTACATTTTACTTACAAACTTCTAGTCTTATCAGATGATATTGCAATGATAATTATACCTAGCTCTCGGATAGCACGTTTCATCTTTAGATCTCAAACGTGTTACAAAACCCAGGTCTCCTGAATTCCAGTCCAGGGGCCTAATCACTGGGTTATATTGCCTAAACTTTTAAATAAATTAGTTATTGGCTGTAAAATACTTCTAAATCCTCAGATGAAATATAGAAATGCAAGATATTCTTACTAATCTCTTTAAAATATTTTTTCCAGGCATTGTCAGAAGCTGAATGTGATGTTTGTTGGAGGACCAAACCAAAGGAAGGATTATCATATTGAAGAAGGAGAAGAGGTAACATATAGGACATTTCTGTTTTACTGCTTTTATAGATCTCTAAGATTAAGAAATTTACTGTATAAGTGACACCTGCAAATTACTAGTGTCCTGCTTAATTCTATTAAACTGATTAGATGTTGGCAGAGAAAATTGACAGAATAAGCAGTTCCATCAGAATACTTTATGAAATTGGGTCAATTTCATCAGAATTTTCATTAGGAAAAGAATGGAAAAAAAGTTCTAACAATGTCAGAATGTCCCATTGCAATATTTTCAGAATGAAACTGTAATAGGTCTGTGCCGGGGCTCGACTCTTCTGGTCAGGAGGGGAGTCGCACCGACTCACTACTGCTGGAAGAAGCAGTCAGTTAGTTCAGAAGCTCTGGCCCTCCGGTGCAGGGGCGGAGCAAAACCGGCAGCTAGCTCAGGCCCTCAGGCAGGGGCTGAGCAGACACCCGGTAGTTCAGGGCTCAGGCCCTCTGGGGCGGGGGCTGAGCCGACAACAGTTAGTTCGGGGCTCAGGCCCTCTGGTGCAGGGGCTGAGCAAGCAAACAGTCAAAGAGCCCAGGCCCTGGGTCAGGGCGGGGCACACACAGGGATAGCTCAGGCCCTTGGTTGCAGGGGCTGAGCAAGCAAACAGTCAAAGTACGCCTAGGCTCCTACAGCCGAGCATTGGGTGAGGGGGAAGCCTGCCACCCGTGAGCGGGGGTGGCAGGGGGGAACGCAGGCCCACCCACTCCACTGCGTTCCAGCCCGGGGCCCTAGCAGCGGTTACTGTCACTGTTGGTCAGTGGGGTATCCAGACTGCAACACACTGACATTGGCTCACATTCGTCTGCAGCCTGACTGGGGTCGGCTACCCCCGGGCTACTTCCAGGATCCCCCTCAGAGCCTACCTCGTTCGTCGCACCGGGCTCGGGCCAGTCCATCTGCATGGGCTCCTCTCGGCCAGGGCTTGGTGGCAGGTCCGGTAGCTCCGCCGGGAAATCAGGCACTCGGGCGGCTCCTCCGGGTAACAGCAGGGGCGGAGGGGTTCTGGTGCGGTCTTGCCTTCCGGGTTAGCGGGGGGGTGGGGTGTTTCCCAGGGTTCCTCCCAGCGACGGGAGCGGACGGGCTCCGGCGGCTCCTCCTCGTAGTGGGCCCGGGGCAGCTCTGGCCAGTTAGGGTCCGGGCCTCGGGCCTCGGAGGTCTCCCGGCCGGGAGCTCCCGGCCGCACGTCTGCTCTCTGTGGTGGCTGGCGGCTGACTGAGCGCTGGCGGCCGGCCTTTATACTTCCTGTCCCGCCCCTTGACTTCTGGGGGGCGGGAACAGGCGGCGGTGGCTCCACCCACTCTGGTGCCTGCACGGGGGCTCCCTCTTCTGGGCAGGAGGGGAGCCACACCGACTCACTACACAAACTTTTTGGTTTTTCATGTTTAAATGATGTTTTGTTTTGAATTTTGTATTTTGTGTTCTAGATTATAATATAATACAACACTTTTTTTTTAATATCAAAATCTAAATGAAACATTTTGATCAACGTAAATGGAATTTCCCCCTCAATTTTCCTTTGTGGAGAATTTAAAATTTTTGGTTTGCATTCCGAGTCAGAATGAAAAAAATTCAACATCTGGAATTCCTTCATGAAATGGAATTTCCATCCTTTGCACGACTCTAGTATTTATGTAATTGGGTTCTGCCTTCTACTGACAGAAAGCATGCTTTGCACCTTGAATAGTCATTTGCCCATGTGTAGAGTGCAAATAGACCAAATCAAAATGGCAACATCTTACACCCAAACTTGCACTGCTGTAAGCCTGGGATTTTCAACTAAACACAAATGAGCTAGATACAAAACTCCCATTACATTCAATGGAATTTGACCATCTAATTCCCATAGTATAATGAAAATTTGAAAATGTCAGCCTAAATGACTTCACAAATACAAGGCAGTACAGAATTAGGCCTAGCATTTTTAAAAGACTTTGTGGGGATTTATATACTTACCATGGAAACAATTAATAGAATCATACCTTAGGTGATTTTATATTGTAATAGTAATATAACTTAATTGTACCTGAGGTGAAAAGCACCTGTTATATATTTATAAGCAAATACTGTTAGGAAAACTGAGTGCATTTTTGTCTATAAGAGATAAGATCCTGGTGAAAGAGATAATCACAACTATAGGATGTCAGGTTACAAAACATTTGAAGGAACCTCCAATCGCTATTCTGATGTTATACTACATTATTATTACATATTATTGATAGGGTTGGGTGAAGCTAAAGGAGTTAAGGTTTGGCAAAGCACTGGAGTGATTGTGGTGGGCACAGGTGCTGGAACTAGGGATGGTGGGGGTGCTACTGCACCCCCTTGCTGGAAGTGGTTTCCATCATATACAGTGTTTACAGTTTGGTTCAATGGCTGTCAGTACTTCCACTATACAAATTGTTCCAGCATCCCTGGTGATGGTGTTGCAAAATTAAAACTAATGACCCCAAACCACCGGAATAGGTGACAACTAGGGGTGTGCTGTGTGTGGGGGGGTTATTTCTGTTTTGAAGCAGGTTCTTTTGGTGTATTTGGGTGGCTCATTCCATGATGCAATCTACTTCTCTTGTGGAGTGTGCTTGTTTGGTGATGGTGGTTTGAAGTGTGTTCAGGTCTATATCCTGGACTTCCTCCTCAGAGCATGTTCTGTGGTATCTGAGTGCTGGGTTTAGATAACAGATTTCTGGGTGTGTTTGGAGAGGTTACTGGATCTATGAAGGTAGGTGTGGTGATCCATTTGTTTCTTGTATATAGCTGTCTGTAGTGTTCCGTTGTTGAAGTTGATTCTGGTGTCCAGGAAGTTGATGCTAGTGTGGGAGTGTTCCAGATAGTTTAATGGAAGGTGGTGGTTGTTGAAGCTATGGTGGAAATTCATACCCCTAGTTGTCACCTACCACCACACACTGGAACCCATATGAGGTATCCTCCAACAACTGTAACCCATACTCAGTGGGGATCCCATCCTGAAATAAATCTTTCTTGAACCCCCTCTTCTGGCCTTCAAACAACCACCCAACCTCTCCAAGCTCACTGAGAAGCAAGCTCCCCACAGACCAGAACACACCAACTCAAAGTGGCACCAGACCCTGCCAGAACAACAAATGCAAAACCTGCAGACATATCTCCACTACTACAGTGATCAGCACATCTTTCAAGATCCATGGATCCTACACATGCCTATCACAACATGTGGTGTACCTCATCTAGTGCACTAATGCCCCAATAACAGCCATGTGGGTAAAAGCAGATAATCACTATGCTTTTGAATGAACTCACACAGGAAATGATAAAAAACAAAACCACCACATCACCTGTGGGTGAACACTTTTCACAAAGTGATCACTCCATATCTGACCTATCAGTCCTCATCCTCAAAGGAAACCCACACAAAAAATGACCCTAGGAGCTTAAATTAATAACTTTGCTAGACACTAAAAGTCATGGACAGAACAGAGACACTGGATTTATGGCTTATTACAATAATCTATAACCCACTAATAACCCCCCCTCCCTTGCATTTCCCCCTATGACTAGAGGGGTGTTAATGATCCACTTTATCTTGAATGGTCCCTGGAAATGTGTTATCTACTTATGCTAAACACTTTGTTCACCTTGTATTTAGCTGTGACACTCTGAGCCCTGGTCTACACCACAGAGTTAGGTCGGCGTTGTGACAGTGTACCCCATAAGGCTTTATGGGGAGGGGGTGCTTATAAATGTATGTATGACATAACTGGAATATATTTTGTGCTGCCTGTGCCATGTAATATATCTCCGTAAAGGTTATGGTCTACTATATCTATTCATCCTATCTGTATATATATATATCATTTTCTACTTGAGGTTAAGAATATGGGCTGTATGCTTGCTTGGTTTCTAAGTAAGCTTTGGGAGGCATTTGGTCAGCTTCTTTAGGAAGGAATTCGCCAGGTTAAGTACCTGATCAGGAAACATTTGGAGAACAATGCATCTTGGAATGCTCCAATCCACATAAGAAGTCTTCCTGGAGACATGCAAGATACCATGTAGACAATAACTTCGGCCTGTAAAGACTGAGTCATGCAGGGACATGTGACTTGCCCAGGTGACTCCAGAACTCCATCTTGGAGCTGGACTTTGCATAGGAGGAAAAAAGGGGGTCTCCACCCACGAGAGAGAGTCTATTTAAACCCGTGGGAGACCCCTCCATTTGGTCTTCAGCTGGCTAAAGAAGGAGCCTCTCCACCCCCCCAGGATACTTGAAGGAAACTGGAACAAAGGACAGTAACTACAGGGGTTGTGAGTGATTGCTGAACCCAAGCTAAAAGGAGATTAGCCTGTAAAAGGGAGCATTCTGGAATTGGTGAGGAACTTATCTGTATTTAGTTTGATTAGACATAGATTTGCGCATTTCATTTTATTTTACTTGGTGACTTACTTTGTTCTGTCTGTTACTACTTGGAACCACTTAAATCCTATTTTCTGTATTTAATAAAATCACTTTTTATTTAGTAATTTACTCAGAGTATGTATTAATACCTGGGGGAGCAAGCAACTGTGCATATCTCTCTATCAGTGTTATAGAGGGCGAACAATTTATGAGTTTGCCCTGCATAAGCTTTATGCAGGGTAAAACGGATTTATTTGGGTTTAGACCCCATTGGGAGTTGGGCATCTGAGTGCTAAAGACAAGCACACTTCTGAGAGCTGTTTTCAGGTAAACTTGCAGCTTTGGGACAAGTGATTCAGACCCTGGGTCTGTGTTGGAGCAGACGGGAGTGTCTGGCTCAGCAAGACAGGGTGCTGGAGTCCTGAGCTGGCAGGGAAAACAGGAGCAGAGGTAGTCTTTGCACATCAGGTGGCAGCTCCCAAGGGGGTTTCTGTGATCCAACCCATCACAGACGTAAGCTGCCTTGCATTGACCTAACTCTTTAAGCACTAAAATGTCACTCCCGCCGATGTAACTCGCCCTATGCCGACTTAATAACTCCACCTCCGTGAGAGGTGTAGTGCTTAGGTCAATGTATTTCGTTTGATGCAGTGTCAGTGTAGACACTGCATTGCTTACATCGACTGTTGTTGGCTTTCTGAAGCCATCCCACTATGCCCCACACTGACAGTTCAATTGGTGCAAGTGCTCCTGGTGAGGATGTGCAATGCCAGCACAAGGAGCATAGCGTGGACATGCAAAAGCAATTTAATTACTGAGGTGGCTGTATGTCAACGTAACTTAGGGTATGTCTACACTACACAATTATGTCAACCTAAGTAAGTTTCCTAGCCCTGAAGAGCTCTGTGTAAGCTCGAAATCTTGTCTTTCTCACCAAAAGAACATGGTTCAATAAAAGATACTACCTCACCCACCTTGTCTCTTGTTTTCTGTTTTTTCTATTAAGCTGGTAAGAAAGAAAATTGAACACTAGTTGTCACTCTAAGCCCATCTTTCCCATCTTCGTACCCATCTGTCTGTATTCTCAAGCTGCATATGATGGACTTGGCTTTTACAAATTGCTGAAATAGAAATGACAGGAATTAATTTCCGCCAGGAAATTCAAGAGGACAACAAATAAAGCTGAGAAAGGCAGTAAGAGGTTTAGCCTTTTCATGCATGAACTGCTCTGTCTCAAACCTTTTCCAGTCTTAATGTAGAATCCCATCTTTTTGCACTGAATGCACTTTTCAAGTTCCGAGACTAGTTACCTGAAAAGGTTCCTATGGTAATTAACATGAAGTTCCTTGAAAAATAGCAAATATTTTTTCATTCCCTAACTGTACACATTATGATAACGCAGATAAAAAGCAATCAAATCTCTCTTACAGCAGCTGCCTATTAAATATTGTTTTAGACTACATCTACACTTGAGCTGGGTGTGAGATTCATAGAAGTAGTTATACTTGCAACTAGCTCTCATTGAGCTAGCCAACGAAAATTAGTAGTGTAGCCACAGTAGCATGGGCAGCGGCAAGTGGCAGCCAAGGCTAGCCACCATGAGTACATACCCGTGGGATTGGGTGGGTTTGTACTCAGCACAGGCAGTGGCTATAGGCACATGGGCTTGCTGTGCTACCATGGCTACAGAATGCTAGCTGTTATCAAACTAGCACAAGTAAGTCTACTCAAATTGGGAATCCGCTCCAAAGAACATAGCCTTAATGTTCTTTCACTTATTCAATATTAAACTAGCTTTTCCTAAAGAGACTTATTTTTTTAAACTTTTATTGCAGTGAATCAGATGGTTACGAATCTCTTTATACAATAAATACCAACACATTTTAACATAGGCAGCCCAATTTTCAAACATGGGCTATTTAATAGGACATCTAAATGCCATATGTAGATGTGCAACTCAGAACTTAGGGGGAGGAAAATGCTCATTGACACAAGTAAGTGATAAGTTGAGACCCAAAATGTGCATATCCTATTAAGGAGCTCATGTTTAAAAGCTGGGCTCACAATCTTAATGCCAGTTTAACAGCACTATTGTATATTTAAAAAGAATGTATGGTGGCAGCCTATTATAAGCCACTCTAGTTATAAGGGTTTGATGTCTCAGTGATTTGAAAACTTCAGCCACTGACACTTACCAGGTTGGAGGAAATTCCAGGCAGACACATTTGCTTTGGGAAGGAAGTTAATTTTAGAATAGTTTAAATCTGTTAAGTTCACTTTTCCATGTACAGAACTACATACACATACACAATTAGTTGATAATATTAGAAAGGATCTTCTGTGCTTCTCTAGCCCAGTTCTTCTCAGCCTGCAGGTCACATCCCCCAAGGGATTACCAGTATGTCAGGTTTGTGAGCATGCTCCAATTCTTGGAACTGATACTCTTAGCCATTACTTGTTGCATCATCCTCAATCACACTCAGTAGCATCCCTCATCTTGTATTCTGTTCCCCCTCTGATCATTTTTATAGATACTGGAGTTAGAATACCCAGTTTATCAGAGATGGGCCTGAACTACCACTCAGACTTTAGACAAATTTGGCTCTAAACTGTGTGGCTTGAGCCCACCACTGCAGCATACTCATTTTTTTTCTCTAATATGTACATACCAAGTTCCCTTTGATCTCTCTCCACAGAAGCATAGATAGGTGGGGCTCCATCCTGCAAACTTTTACTCATATGCAGTTCCATTGACCTCAAAACCACACTCACTCCCAAGAGAAGGACAAGGAAATTTTGGAAATCTTTATCACTTTGATCAAACCAAGCCACACTTGGCACAGGAGCAGAATGACCACAACCCCCAGGTCTGGGCAAATTCAGGGCTAGCACTAGAGTAGACTTAGAGCTACTCTAACTTGGACTTAACCTACACTTAAAAGTTTTGCTGATATAGCTATAACCTCCTAATTTAGACATGTCCTCTGTCTCAGTACAACTGCATCTACACTAGGGCTTTTGCCAGCACAGAAATGTCACCCAAAATAAATAAATCCATCCCACTTTTAGCTAACATTGCTATAGTTACAAAAGCTTCTAGTGTAAACCTGGCCTTATACCCAGCTATCTATGGCTACAAGGGGCAATACTTGGAGCTAGGGATCAGCCAACTGCAGGGGCACCCTGGCCACATCCCTTTCTCCTGGACATTTCCCCCTATACTGAAGGTGGGGTTGGGAGAGGGGTTGCATAGGAGTTGTGGTGACAGCTCTACACACCCCACAGACTTCCCTGTGCATGGGCATCTTCAGGGACTGGATTTACTGGCATCCTGGCTGCTTTGTGCTGCCTGAATGGGAGCAAAGATCTAGCAGCGTATCTTTTAAATTCTTCTTCCTGTGATATTTTCCAGAGTTCCCAGAAAAAAATTCTTCTCAGGGATGAGATGTGGCATGTGCAAAGTGAAGAGACTGGCTTGTTTCAGGGGAAGTCAGTGGGAGATGAAGACCATGCACACGGTGGAGCTTGAGTGTGGATGGATAGTTAATGATAATCAGAAATAGTTTTTCACTGGTTTCAGATTTTTACTACATTGTGTGTGTTTTGTTTGTTATGCAGACAGTTTAGTCAGCAAAGTAGAAAAAGGCCTTTTGGTAACTTGTAATATTTTAACACCTGATCTATCTAGCTGTGAAAATACTTTAAATAAAGGGTTGTTTGTTTTTAAATGAGAAGGGAAAAAAGCTCCTCTTGCAATCAGTGGGAGAGAGGTTCCATTCACATCAGAAGCAGCCTTCATCTTCAGAAATAGTTTTGACGCCTAAGATTGGTGGGATAAGGCTTGGCTAGTGTCCAGGTTTCACCGGTGACTGATGCACATGAGCAAAGAAAAACATAATTTTCTCTCTTTGTCATCCAATTGCTTTTCCAGATTTCTGATGGTTGAAAACCTTGGGATGAGAAAGGGAGAGAAAATTGTTGTTCTGTGCTCATGTATATCAGTCACCTGTGAAGCCTGGACAGCACCACAGCAGAATGTCATTTGCTCTGCAAATTCATTTAGTTCTTGATAATCTGACACACAGTACATGCCAATTCAGGGCCCAATCCTGCAAGGTGCTGAGCAACCCCAATTTCTAATCCGGCAGCACACAGGCCCTACTCAATTAATTTTCACACTCAAATCAGTGATACAGAATTCTGAATCTCTGCTACCTGCTTTATTCTATATCACTACTTGGGTGCACATTTCCTGGGCCTAGGGCCCCAGGTGATAGCGAGGATGGCAAGCTCTCTCCCTTGCCTCCCCCAGTGAAACAGGGCCCAGCCAAAAAAAAGCAGCAGTACTGCACAGAGCAGTAGGCTCTCTGCAAAGCCTCAGCCCCCCTCCTTTTTGGAACTGAAGTGCCACCTATTTCCTTTGGAAGAGCCAATCAAACCCTTGTCCCTATGAGGTGAGAGATTGTGCAGCTGGGAAAGACTGCAGTGGCAGCAGGCATCCATCACCGCCTCAACAGTGACTCAGTATCAACCGTACTGCTTTTCATTGTACTCTAATGACTTTAGTATCTGGTGATATCACCTACCTTTGGACCACGATGGATGAGGGTGGAGCAGAGTTAAGGAGAGGAGGTAAGTCTCGGATACTCCAGAAAGCTCAAGGGAACTAGACCAAAACCAAACTGTCAGTCTCAAGGGTTATTGATTAATTTTCAGAAATGCTTTGCACCTGCAGCTCTCAATAGAGACATTGGGTATTTAACACTTCTGCAATATAAAGCCATATGATTAAGATAAAAGGCCACTTCTGAATTCATGATAACTCTGGGAGGGTGGCTGGGAGGGGGGAGGTAATAGTTAAGGATTAATAAGAAAGCAGGGAAGTTTTGCAATAACAGGAATGGGAGCGTGTCAGATAGTAAATAAGAAAGGGCTCAAATAAAAAAACACAGAGAGAAGGCTGGGGGAAGAAGATGTGTAAACTTTGGGAGACTACCAAAAAACAAATTAAAGAAGAGTACAAAAATTAGAAGACCTTAAACAACCCAAGCCTACCCTTGTTTCCTTCTCGCCTCTTGCCTGTACGTTCTAGACCACAGGTTCTTTGGAGCAGGGATCTGTCTAGGGCCCATAGCAGTTTGTGGGGACATAATATAACTGATTAAAAAATGAAAAGAAAAGCTACCAGAGTAAACGGAATAGCCTGATTTCCTTTGTCTCCTGCATGTTACTGAGACTGGACATCGGATTCTCTCTCAAAACAGACAAAGGGGCAGATGCTATGTTCCAAGGCTGGGCACTGAACAGATGCTCTGTCCACGCGCTCACTGCAACCACGCCCACCTACTGGAACCAGACTGCTTACAGTGCCAAAGGATTTTCTGTGACTGTGTAGGAAGGGTTAGATTTGCCCCAAAGTATGGAGAGGTTCTACCAGCATATGGATGACAGTGTTTCAGCAAAGGACAATAGTCCTATATTTATTACTAGCTATTCCTATGACTGTTGAAATGGAAGGGTCATGGGCTGTAACTCAATGAGCCATTAAACAGATGACAGTTGTCTTGATAAAGTTCAGAAGATATAATTAGCACAGTAATGAACTGGATAATTACTGCCACATGTGCTCCTCAAAATATCAAATGATTTTTAGGTGAATGAAAAGCTCATATTTTTCTTTAAAAAGACATTATTTTCCTGAAAACCATTTCAAAGACTAAATCCCAACTTGCTGTGAAAAGTGTTGTTATAATATAGATGCAGAAATACTTGAATTGGGTATAATGAAAAAAACAAAGAAACCTACACCAACATCACACACCACTATTTGCAAAACAACTCTTAACAACACAGCAATGAATTCAGAGTTAAGGTTCCTCGGTATTCCATTAGGGCCCTGTACCATAGAATTCAATGGGCTTTTTTCCATTGACTTGGATGGGAGCACGATCACAAGCAATCAAAAACATTCAGTACAGGAAAGATTCCATGATTACTCCACAACAGGGTGAACTTCAGCCCTGTGCTGAAGGCCAGCACAACCCTATGCACCCACAAAATAGGGCTGACGAGGTGCACAGACCTCGAGCTGGCCCTCTGCATAGGGTTGCCAGGCATCTAGTTTCTGACCGGAATGCACAGTCAAAAAGACCCTGGTGGCTCTGGTCAGCACTGCTGAGTGGGACGTTAAAAGTCCAATTGGTGGCATAGCAGGGCTAAGGCAGGCTCTCTGCCTGCCCTAGCTCTGCGCAGCTCCCCGGAAGCAGCTGGTATGTCCAGCCCCTAGGCACAGAGGCGATCAAGGAAGCTCCGCATGCTGCCTCAGCACCAGCTCCACAGCTCCCATTGGCTGGGAACCACTGCCAATGGGAGCTGTGGGGGTGGTGCCTGCAGGCACAGGCAGCGCACACCATGCAAAGCCAACTAGCTGCCTCTCCATCTAGGAGCCGGACATGCCAGCTGCTTCCGGGAGTAGCACGGAGCCAGAGCAGGCAGGCAGCCTGCCTTAGCCTCGCTGCACCACCGACCAGGAGCCGCCTGAGGTGAGCACTGCCTGGCCAGAACCCACACCCCAAATCCCCTGCCCCAGGTTGGAGCCCCCTCCAGCACCCTAATTCCCTTCCAGAGCCCATACCCTGCACCCCCTACTACACCCCAGCCCCCTGCCCCAGGTAGGAACTCCCCTCCCACACCCAAACTCCCTCCCAGAGCCCACAGCCCACACCCCAATCCCCTACCCCTGCCTTGAGCTCCCTCCCAGAGCCCACACCACACAACCCCTACCCCAGCCCTGACCCCCTCCCATATCCAAACTATGTCCACAGTATGATGAATCCAGCAATATTGCCAAATATTTCATCGCCTTTGAGAGACTGTGCACCCTCCATGTAATCCCTGAAGATCAAAAGATGACCACACTGACTGGCAGAGCTCTGGACATATTCAATAAGATGCCTATTGATGCTTCAAACTATGGTAAATTTAAGGAACTGGTTTTGAAACAGTTTCAGGTTACCCCTGAAACCTACAGGGTTAAATTCAGGAGTTTTAAGAGGGGATCTGGATTGAGTAATGTGGCTTATGTAAATGAAATGAGAAATTTGATAGATAAGTGGGTGAGGGGGAAAGGCATTACAAGCTTTGAAGGAATGTGTGATTTGGTTACTCAGGAACAATTCCTGAATATGTGCAGTGATAATGTAAAACAGTATTTGTGGGTCAAAAAGGTAAATGCGGTGGGTGAATTAGCTGGGTTTGCAGACTCTTCTGAGCAAGCACAAGCTGCAATTAAACATAAACTACTGGCAGAGGGGTACAGGGTTGGGCGAAAACAAAATCACCATTTTACCCCTGGGGAAAAAGGAGGCTGGGCGTTCACCTCCCCATTCCCCTGTTACTTGTCCCAAATTTCCTGTTCAAGCAGAGGAGCCTAAGAGGTATCATTGTAAGTCCACTGAGCACCTGAGGAATAAGTGTCCCTTGCTGAGTGGAAACAGGCAGCAAGTAAAACATGAAGCTGCTACTTCTCAGAGCCAGGCTGCGGCCTCTTTCCACACAGGATTTGTAAAGCTTGCTTCTGCACCACCAAGCAGGGAGCATATGCATGCCATTAAACTGAATGGCGAATTACTTGTTGGATTGAGAGATCCGGGGGCTGAAATTTCTGTGGTCAGGAGGGACCTGATCCAGGAGAAGGATTTGTTGCCAGGGAAAATGGCAGAATTAGAACTGGTGGGAGGTTACAAAGTCCTTGCACCTTTAGCTAAAGTACAAATGCAAACTAGTCCTTTGCAGGCTGAGCTGACTGTTGCAACAGTGGCACACAATTTTGCACCTTTTCAACTAGGGAATGATTTTTTTAATGTGGCAGAATCTGTGCCAGGGTTGGTTAGCAGTGAGAAGGGATCTTGTGCTAAAAGTCCCGGAGGGGTGGGTGAAGTCACATGGACTGCTGGGGGAATAGAAAGGTGTCTCTTACAGCAGCAAAGAATGCAGCTCCGGGGGCAGGGAAGGTTGTAGCCAGTTCCTGTAGCCCACAGCTGGACCAGGGTCACCTTCCGTTTTGGGGGACACAGGAGTGTCTGACCCAGAGAGGAAAGCCCAAATGGAAGGTGAGAGCGGGGTGGAGAGTCCGCCCACCTTTTGTAGGGAGGATCTTTCCTAGGAGGAGGGTGAAGAATCTGCATTCAAAATGCCAGATCCCTCTCCTGTGGATCAGGGTTTAAGGAGAAAGTGGGGGTCATATCTACTGGAAGGGGGCACCCCCCCAACTAAAAGAAAGAGGGGTATCCAAGGGGATCTTACCAATCCAAAGCACCCCATTGAAAGATGTTCTTGCTATGCTTGTAAGAGATAAAACTGTCTCTTCAAGGCAGGAGGAAAAAATCTCTGCATGGGTGAAGCTTCACATGGGAGTGGGGACCAGGGCAGAGAAATTCCAGAGGGAGGGGCCAAGGGCAGGCATGGTTGCAGTACACCCTTTCCTTGCCAAAGCCTCAAACACATGCCTGAATTAAAAGCCTTCTCCAAAGAGACAGAAGAATCTGCATCAGAGTGCCTACCAGGGGATACAAAGAAATGGGAAAATGCAGTAGACACAAGCTAAATCATGTGAACAAAGCCTGTCCACCGTAAATTTGCTGTTAATCTTGTGTCTTTTGCTAATTCATATATGGGTTAAAACAAAGGTGTTAATGCTAGTGGTAAACCCTTTAAAGGTGTGGGACATTTGTGGAAGAAATTGTTGTACATGCTAGGGATGGTGACAAGACAGTCCCGCAAGGATGTTACCCTGCAGTTTATATCTGTAAACAGGCTGGAAGCTTGGCACAGCAGCAAAAGCATAACAGGCCCATGCTGCTGTGTAGAAGGGGAAACTGAGGCACACCACCTCATGGCATTGGTGGCTAAATGCCAAGACACCTGCACTTTAACAGATATTGTTGTTGTTCCAGACCCAACTGACTAATCAGAGGGAATTCTACATGGGGGGGGAAGGGGTATCCACCCACAAGAGAAACTCTATTTAAACCCCTGGGAGACCCCTCCATTTTGTCTTCAGCTGGCTCAAGAGATAGCCTCATCATCCCCAAGGATACCTGAGAGAAACTGGAACAAAGGACAGTAACTAGTGGGGGGGGGGGGGGAGTGATTGCTGGACCCAGACTAGAAGAAGACTAGTCTGTAAAAGGAAGCTTGCTGGAACACCTCTGAGGGTGAGGTTTTATCTGTATTCAGTTTTCTTACTGTATTAGGCTTAGACTTCCATGTTTTATTATGGGGGGAGGGGTAGCTCAGTGCTTTGAGCATTGACCTGCTAAACCCAGGGTTGTGAGTTTTAATCCTTGAGGGGGTCATTTAGGGATCTGGGGCAAAAATCTGTCTGGGGATTGGTCCTGCTTTGAGCAGGGGGTTGGACTAGATGACCTCCTGAGGGCCCTTCCAACCCTGATATTCTATGATTTCATTTTGTTCTGTCTGTTACTACTTGGAACCACTTAAATCCTACTTTCTGTATTTAATAAAATCACTTTTTACTTATTAATTAACCCAGGGTATGTATTAATACCTGGAGGGGGCCCAAACAGCTGTGCATATCTCTCTATCAGTGTTATAGCAGGCGAACAATGTATGAGTTTACCCTGTATAAGCTTTATACAGGGTAAAACAGATTTATTTGGGGTTTGGACCCCATTGGGCGTTGGGCATCTGAGTGTTAAAGACAGGAACCCTTCTTACGTTGCTTTCAATTAAGTCTACAGCTGTTCAGGGATGTGGTTCAGACCTGGGTCTGGGTTTGCAGCAGACTAGCAGGTCTGGCTCAAACAAAGCTGGGCACTGAAGTCCCAAGCTGCCAGGGCAGGAAAGCAGGGGCAGAAGTAGTCTTGACACATCAGTTGGCAGGTCCCAAGGGGGGTTCTGTGATCCAACCTGTCACACCCCCTCCAACACCCTTAACCCCTCATTTCCAGCCTCACCCCGGAGCTTGCACCTCCAGCTGGAGCCCTCACCCTCACCCTCTCCCGCACCCCAACCCCCTGCCCCAGCCAATTTAAAGTGAGTGAGGGTGGGGGAGAGCGAGCGATGGATGATGGGGGATGGAGTTAGTGGGGGGGTGGGGCCTCAGAGCAGGGCCAGAGGAGGGGCATGACCTCGGACAGGGGCATGGCAGGAGTGTGGCAAGGGTGTTCAGTTTTGTGCAATTAGAAAGTTGACAACTTTACCTCTGCACAAGGGTGAAATTCACCCATAGAGGTATAAACAGAACAACTTTGGGATCAGGGAGGAATTTTACAATCAGGGCACTTTGAGATTTTTATTTTTAGTCACAGCAATAAAGTTGGGAGTTAGCCATTAGGAAGAGAGGACGTAACTGTGCCTGAGTGATTTCCTGGGGCTGGACATTAGCAGACCTTGGTCCTTTCTGTCTTCCTAGTCTACGTTTCCATGGTAATGTTCTGCAGCAGCACCCTGAGCAGCAGATATCAGCAAAATATGGCTACCAAAGAGAGCACTTCAGAAACTACTTTTCAATTACCAACATGGCCAATGAACAGGCCTTTGTGATAGTCACAGTCAGTCTTAAAATTCCCCCAAAAGGGATGGGTTATAGAGCAATCTTCCACTCGAGTCACTTTATGCTGTAAAATGAGCCATCAGCATTGTCAATGAAGCCTATTGTGGTATTTTACACAATCACTCACTGACACCAGACCAAAGAAAAATGACAAGGCAGAGGGGGGGAGGGGAGGGAGAGAGATAGGGGAAGTTAAATGGAATACAGGGACAATAGGGATTCAGACCATGGTTAGGTGAACAATTCAGACATGGGCAGTGGGTGAAGCTTCCTCCCAGGGAAGGCTAGCCCCCTGCCCTGCCTCTTCCGATCAAGGCCACGCCCCCGCTCACTGCTCTCAGCCCCCCTGTGGCCTCAGTTGGGGTGGCGGGGGGGGTAAGAGCTTGGCCCCTCCTCCCCATGGCTCTGGCTGGGGTCTGAGGGCCACGGGCCGTGGTTGAGCTCTCAGCCCTGGCTGGGACAATGGCGGAGCTCTGGGCCCTTGCAGGAGTTCCAAGTCTGAAGCCCCTCCCCGCTTCTGCCCATGGCCCTGCCCATGGCCCCACCCCTTCCCCCACAGTCTGACCCATTCCGCCCAGGGCCCCGTTCCCATTCTGCCCTGTTCCCCATTCTGCCTCAATGCCACCTCTTCCCCCCGAGGCCCTCCACCCCACTCACTCCTAAACTGACATGCACGCGACACCAAATATGTCCACAATCACGCAAAGGGTTATCTCCAGACATACACAAGTCCCATGATTTTCAAAGGAATTTAGATGCCTAAAGATGCAGATGGGTACTCAGTGGCATTTTCAAGAGCACTAAGCGGGTTAGGTGCCTAACTCCCATTGGGTTGAATGAAAATCTGACACTGTAGAGTTACAGTCAAAAAGTAATTTTATTGGATCTTATGTCTAGGTATACAGCAGTTGAAGTGGCTATATTGAATCTACTGATACATAAAAATGGTCTTACTGGTTCAGACCAATCTTGGTTCAGACCAATAGTCCATCTAGCCCACTATCCTCTCTTCCAACAGTGGCCAGTACCAGATGTTTCAGCAGGAATGAACAGAACAGGGCAATTATCGAGTGATCCATCCCCTGTCATCCAGTCCAACTTTTAATCAGTTACTGATCCATGAGAGGACCTTTCCTCTTATCCCATGACTGCTTACTTTGCTTAAGAGCCTTTGATGCGGGATCTTCTCAAAGGCTTTCTGAAAGTCCAAGTACAGTAACTCCTCACTTAATGTCCTCCCGCTTAACGTTGTTTCAAAGTTACGTCGCTGCTCAATTAGGGAACATGCTCATTTAAAGTTGTACAATGCTCCCTTATGTCGTCGTTTGGCTGCCTGCTCTGTCCACTGCTTGTAAGATTCTGTGGAAAAGCAGCAACTTTACAAGGGAGCATGGCACAAGTTCCTCTTCTCTGCCTCCTCTCCCTCCCTCCCAGCGCTTCCCTCACCGCCAAACTGTTTGGTGGTGCTTAGGACTTTCTGGGAGGGAGGGGGAGGAGTGGGGAAGTGCCGCGTCTCCGCTCCTTCCCCTCCCTCCCAGAAAGTCCTAAGTGCCACCAAATGGGGGTGGGGGTGGAGCGGAGACACGGCGTGCTCCGGAGAGGAGGTGGAGTGAGGGTGGGAAGAGGTGGGCCTGGAGTGGAGCGGGGACGGGAAGAGGCGTGCCTGGAGCATCCCCCGGCAAAGTCGGCGCCTGTTCTTCTCGGGGGAAGCTGCCGCTGCTGCTGTGCAAGGTGCTTCCTAGCGTCCTTGCCTGCAGCAGGCTGTGCCTGTGTGGGGTAAGCCAGGGGCACTTCCCAACCACAGTACAATACTGTACAGTATATAATGCCTTTTGTCTGCCTCCCAAAAATTTCCTTGGAACCTAACCCCGCGCATTTACATTAAATCTTATGGGAAAATTGGATTTGTTTAACATTGTTTCACTTAAAGTTGCATTTTTCAGGAACATAACTACAATGTTAAGTGAGGAGTTACTGTACACTATTTCAACTGGACACCCTCAAAGAATTCTAATATCTTGACAAGGCATGACTTCCCTTTACAAAAACCATGTTGACTCTTCCCCAACATATCATGTTCGTCTATGTGTCTGATAATTCTGTACTTTACTATAGTTCAACCAATTTCCCAGTATTGAAGTTAGGATTACCAGCATGTAATTGCAAGGAATGCCTTTTTCAAAAATAGGCATTACATTAGCTATCCTCCAGTCATGTGGTACAGAGTCTGAATTAAAATGAGACTTTACATACCATAGTTACTAGTTCCGCAATTTTGCATTTGAGTTCCTTCAGGACACCATCTGGTCCTGGTGATTTATTACTGTTTAATTTTATCAGTTTGTTCCAAAACCTCCTCTAGTGACACCTCAATCTGGGACAGTTCCCCAGTTTTGTCACCTAAAAAGAATGGCTCAGGTGTGGGAATCTCCCTCACATCCTCTGCAGTGAAGACCGATGCAAAGAATTCATTTAGCTTCTCCTCAATGGCCTTGTATTCCTTGAGTGTTTCTTTGGCACCTTGATTATCCGTGGCCCCACTTATTGTTTGGCAGGCTTCCTACTTCTGATGTACTGAAAAAATTGCTGTTTGTTATTGTGTCTTTTGCTAGTTGCTCTTCAATTCTTTTTTTGGCCCACCTCATTATCAGTGGTTTCCAACCTTTTTTTACGTCCAAGATCACTTTTTGAATTTAAAGGCAGCCCAGGATCTACCCCACCCCTTCCCGAGGCCCCGCCCCTTTCCCGAGGCCCTTTCCCGAGGCCCTGCCCCACTCACTCCAACCCCCCTCTCTCCGTCGCTCGCTCTCCCCCACCCTCACTCACTTTCACTGGGCTGGGAGGGGGTTGGGGTTCTGGGCTGGGGCTGAGGGGTTCACAGTGTGGTAGGAGGCTCCAGGCTGAGCCTGGGGCAGAGAGTTGGGGTGCAGGAGGGGGCATGGGGTACTGGCTCTGGAAGAGAGTTTGGATGTAGGAGGGGGCTCCGAGCTGGGGCATGGGGCGCTGGCTCTGGGAGGGGGGGTCAGGGCTGGGGTTCAGGGTGCTGGTTCCAGGAGGGGGGCGCTTACCTCAGGTGGCTCCCAGGTAGTGGTGAAGCGGGGCTTGGCCCCACTCAGGCACATTGGCACCTCCTCCCCATCATGAGCTGGGCCACCCCCGCACCCTGCCAGCCAGTAGTGCACCATGTGGCCATGCCGCTCCCGGAAGGGTCCAACGTTCCTCTGCGGCCCCTGGGGGAGGCACGTGGCTCCACATGCTGCCCCTCTCTGCAGGCACCACCCCAGCAGCTCCCATTGGCCACACTTCCCTTCCAGGCAGGACCAGCGCGCGGGGACTCCTGGCCTCTCCCACCACTGGCGGGGTCGCGGGGGGGGCATGCTGGCCACTTCTGGGAGTGGCATGGGGCCGCGGCAGGCAGGGAGCCTGTCTTAGCATCAGGCAGCACCGCTGCAGACAGAGATCGTGATTGACTGGGAGAGTCTCCAGGATTTACGGGTTGGTGACCACTGGTCTATCTAGATGCATAACCTACGCACCCAGCAGGCAGTTCACCATGCGGTTCTCCTAGTCACCACAAACCCAACCATCTATATTTCTAATAACTGAATTCCTCATTACTATTACCTGTCTCTTCCTAATAACTGGGGTCTGTGCAAGAGGATACCATGACATCATCTGGAAGAAGGGTCCCAACTATGGTATAGTTCCCTTCCTCTCCAGCTTGATTTCTCCTTCCCCAAGACTTTCATCCTCTTCAACGGCACATAGGTGGTCAAAACTCAGAATGGGACCGCTTTACTGTGTTCCTGATAGTCTCAGCTATATACCTCTGTGCCTCCCTTAGCTCCTCTAGTTCAGCCACTCTGTCCTCTGGAGACCGTACTCAGTCCTGGAGGGGCATGAGTTGCTTGTATCAAATGCACACATATCCCTCCCCTCCACAAGGCAGGTAATCACACATGCTGCATTCAGTGCAATAAACCGGATAGCTCCCCACCCTGCTGATGGAATTCTGCCTGCAATATTTGTACTCTTTAAAGGTGGGGATTATTTGTTTGTTCTTTGTTTTGGGTGGGGGAGAGGGCTATCGGTCTAACTATGGAGTCTATTTGTTAAGTGTTTCTGGCTCTCATGCTCCCGCTCTACACTCTCACAAAATTCCCCTGATTGCTTTGCCACCTCCTCTGGTTGCTTAGGAGCTGGCTTTTTAAACCTCTGTCCTCCCTGAGTTAGCCCCGCCCCCTTGTCAAGAGATCCTTAAGGCCTTAGGGATCAAAGGATTGCAGGCTAGAGCCTCCTTAGTAAACTCACATGTTTTAATGTCATTTTTTCTACACAGTTATTTTACCAAGTGGAAGGAGACATGTGCTTGAAGATAATTGAAAATGGAAACCACAGAGATATCCACATCAGAGAAGGGGAGGTAAACTGGGGGTTTGTTTTCGTCATTATTGCACGTGTTAAATGACTCTCATAACAAGTATTTCAAATCAACCTTCCACTGCAGTGCAAGATAAAATAAGAACAGGAGGACTTGTGGCACCTTAGAGACTAACAAATTTATTAGAGCATAAGCTTTCGTGGACTATAGCCCACTTCTTCGGATGCATATAGAATGGAACATATATTGAGGAGATATA